AGGGCCAGGGAAGGTGAGTGTTAGAGAGACCGTGCGAGAGAGGGAGAGAACTGCAGCAAAAACCTTGAATATCTCAAAAACTATCGGTCCACGGTATCGGTCCTTTGACCCTATTTCGCTAGAAAGAGAGAGAGAGAGAGAGAGTGAGAGAGAGAGAGAGAGAGAGAGAGAGAGAGAGCATGCAGAGAAGCGGAAAAGCAACCTACCGTAAGACTGCTTGAAGTGGAGCAGGAAAAAGCGTTCAGGTTGGTTCGAAAGAATGAGACAGCCCTAGGGGCACCAACGCTTTTATACCCTCAGCGGCCCCATTTAAATCTCGTCAGCAAAATATGTCATCAATTAAATTGAATAAGCGAATGTCTGCGTCTCATACAGTTCTATGCTCTTTCTCCCCTAAAGTCTGCACCCTCTCCCCAGTCCCCACTCTCTAGAGCGGGCTGGGAGGGTAGGTGACAGTAGGCTGGGGCGATGGGATCAAAGGGGGAAGGGTGGCACCAAGGCGAGATCAAAATGTAACCCAAGAAAAAAATGAACTACCCCGGGGCTTGACACCTTTTATGCCCTTCCGAGCGAAGCCCGGCCCTGTTCGAACACGTTCGAACAGGTTCGAATATGTACCAGTTCCTGACCATTGCACCAATTCGTAGTTTGTACTTTCGAAACTTTCCCGAGCGGACTTTCGAAACCGGTTCGATTATACCGAACTTTTGAAGACAGGGACAAAAGATAGGTTTTCGGGGTCGATTTTTTGCGCTGATTCCGAATTTGATGTCGGATTTGCGTCAAAGTCAATGGTTTCTGAGATAATCCAGGTTTTTGGTTGAAATCAGGGATTTGAGCCTAGGAAAAGACGACACAGAGATGGCTAAAGGGATTGATTGGGTGGACAAAGGTCGACCCCAAAGCAAATAAAGGAATGACACGAAAGATGGCGAGACGAATGTGAGGTAGTGGACGGTAGGGGTTTTGGCTGAAGGCGGTTTAGGCGGGCGCTTTTCGGCTTCCGTCGTTGGGTATCTAAGCCAAGTAATCGCCACCCTCAATGGGCGTGGCCTCGAGGTGGTGCCGGAGTTTCGAAAGTATTTCGTCACGCCATGTTACAATCCAGAATCAGAGAACGACGAAAAACCAGAAAGAGAGCTGCCGCCGAGGCTTGGCACTTGTAAACTATCGCCACATGATGGTGTAGCAAGCCAGATGCAAGACTATACAAATGAATTCTATGCAAAAAGATAATTTAGGGTTAGATGATTTGGATGCTCTGCGCGACATCGGAGCCGAGACAGCTGCGGGTGGCTGCCTCGAAACGCCGGAACTGAACGGCTCCGAACGGTCGGCCCTCCGGTTTTAGCGCTTTCGGTCAGTTCATCCTCAACGTGTTGACACCCATAACTTCAAGGGTCCGGTATCGTAGGTGTACTGTTTCTATTCACCGTGCTTTGGACGTGTGGCACGCTTTATTAGCCTTGCCTAAAACTACAAATCGTTATACAATATGGGGAAAGAACGACTGAATAATAAGGATCAAAGTGGGGAGGGAATCAAATCACTAGAATATACAGGGTGGAAAGGTCAGTGATTTTTCTTGGTTACGAAATCGAAGATCCGGACAAAAATGCACAAAAATTACAACACACAAATCTCTACTAGATATTGAAATTATTGTTCGATTCGAGCATTCGAAGATCAGCGGGGGAAATTGGAGTCTCCGGGCGATCAGGCTCATAGCTATCCTCTGCAACAATTTTCTCAGGTACACACAAATTTCCATTCGTATCAACAACCGAAAATGCCGGGAGTTTTGGTGGAAAAACAGAGATGGGTTGCAGCTGGAAGCCTTTTTGGGCCAGGATTTCGACAACTTGGGGTTCACTGAGGGGATTGGCCTGGTTCAGCACGGCTTCTGGCAGTTGGGGAAAAGCGGCCGGCGATACAACACGTGGGTCTTGTGTTGCAATTCTCAAATGGCCGTCCAGCAAAAATGCCGCGGTCGGGAGGTATTCGCATTGGAAGAGGTCGGGACGAAGTTCAACTAAAGGGGAACGGCTTGTCTTGGTTGGACATTAAAAACGTTATATCTTGTCTCGCACCCTCTCTCTCTCTCTCTCTCTCTCTCTCTCTTCTCACTCACTCTGTCTCTCTCTCTCTCGCTCTGCCTATTCTTAGCCGTTCACTGGTTCGTTACGTCTCTATCTTTCCCTCTATCGCTCACTCACTCTCTCCCTCCTTCTTCTCTCTCTCTCTCTCTCTCTCTCTCTCGCTCTCCTTATGTCTGCATCTTTCGTTCTCTGCCTATCGCACTCTCTTACACTACCACTCCGCTCCCGCCCTTTCTCACGCTCTCTCTCGCTCTCTCTCGCTCACTGTAACCCACTCTCTCTGCCCTCTCTCTTAATTCAAAAACTCACTCTTCCTCGTATCGAACCATCTCCATACTGACATCACGGGATTCTCGACGAATTGCTTGTAGACCTCGGGATGAGCCTTCTGCAGATGCTTCTTTGCCTGCTTCGTCGTCTTTGCCTGAAAAATACATCGGCAGTCCTTAAATTTGCAAATGGCCCTCGGAAAGTCAATATTTTTTCCGTCGAAGAACGTGTCGAACACGTCCGAGAATTCCCAAATTGGTTGGATGCGGTTGGTGTTCAGCTGGTAGATGACGTACTGGAATAGCTTGAGCTGCTCTGAAAAAGCGGCAAGGATTTCAAGTGAAAAAAATTCAAATTTGCCTAGAAGACTTACCGAATACGGCGTCGGTCGGTGGGATCGGAATCTTTGGGGCGCGGCGGGGCTTGGAGATGGAGCGCTCTTTCATGGTTTGAGTGCTGTAAATTTTAATCTCTCTCTCTCTCTCTCTCCCTCTCTCTCGCATACTTGAAAATGGCAAAGATTAATCTTTTCATGGGGCGGGTAAGGTATGGCTTGCAATTTTGTTAGATATGCTTAAAATCGGACGTGGACTCTTTTCCCGAGAAATTTTTAGTTGGCGAGGTTCAGCTAGCCAATAGCCGATAGATTTTAGGCAACTAAAATTTGCCGCGAACTTATGGGAATTTCTTGCGTTCGAACCGGAAAACCATCAAATTCTATGCAAACTCCAAGAATTCACCTAAGAAATACGCAAAATTGGAATAAAAGTAAAATATCAAATAGCTCAAAAGGTACACAGAAAGGAAAAAAACTAGCAATGCCTTGCCCGTCCCTTTAATCGATGACCTACGGTCTTCAGCGGCGGGATTTGTAGCGGCTGTGGTGGGTTGCTGTCGTTATTCTTTTGGTGGCGATGCCTGGGTGGTTGGGAGGATGTAAATGTCGCAGAGAAATCACGCAAGAAAATGGGGGCGGAGTTTCGGGTGGGAGGGGCTCGCTGGAGCCAGCCTTGGGCGCTTGCCAAATGTATACAGATTGATCGGTCGATTGTAGAGATGAGAGAGAGGGGAGAGAGAGCAAGAGAGAGATAGAGAGCGAGAGAGAGAACAAGACAAAGATTGAGAGCGAGAGAGTGAAAGAGAGAGTGACGGAGAGGGGGAGCGGGGTAGACTGTTTATAAAACAGTTGCGTGATGTAATGCTGTGCTTGTCTTCGAACCCTTTGATAAGCTGTAAAGTAAATAGCATCAACCAGACCCGGACCCAAAACAGCTGTCTGCGCAACTTACAACAGTCAGCCTGCCGCCTGGACCTCCCTTGCACGGCCTCTCTCGAAGCTCCTGCCCTCCAATCATCTCTCACCCCTGCCCTGTCTGCCCCTCCTTAAAATCCCTGATATATGGGGCCCGGGCTGCGGCTGGTGAAGCGAGGCGACGTTTGTAAATGATGACCCAAACGGAGGGATGCCCCAGATCACAATCTGGCGAGGGGAATCAGGGCAGCGGGGAGGGAGGAGGTGTCGAAAGTGCAGCGAAGCATTTTTTAACACGACTTGACCTGTTCGCCCGCGGTGGGCCGGATTTTACCTGACCAAGCGGGGTCCGTAAAATTCCTAAATGGAAGGCAAGGATCAAAAGGGAGAAAGGAAAAAAAATCAGAATTATAACAAAATTCAGGTAAGATAAAAAGCAAAAAGGGCAAGGCTAGTTTTGGTTGTCGCTGAAAGTTGGCAACGATCCAAAAGCAAGCAATGTAGTGATTTTTGACCGCAGGCGGCGCGTTCTCTCTCTCTCTCGATCTCGCTTTCTCTCTCTCTCTCTCTATCTCTTTCTCGCTCTCGCTCTCTATCTCTTTCTCGCTCTCGCTCTCTAGGACAAAAGGGTCAAGAGGGTGAAGAAGCCTTGAGCGCTCTCGCGCTCAAGGCTTCTTCACCCTTTTGTCCTACGCTAATAAACTACCGTTTTGAACGATGAGCTTTCCAGACTTGCCCCTGGAAATTCAAAACCCGGTTCTTTGCTAGCTTGATTTAATTAGCTTCTGCAAAACCGCCATCACCAGGAGGCCCATGTTCGAGTTGGCCAAGGATTGTCCTCGAAAATTTGAGGGCCCGAAGCTAACACGCCCCTTTAGAACCCGCATTGCGGGCAGGGGCGTACACGAACCCGATTTTTGGGGGGGCAACTCGAAAATTTTTTGTCGATTTCCCCCGTCACCACTTTCTAAACATTCAAAAATCGCAGCTATAACAGCGCCGCAGGCCGCAAAAAATTAGCAAAAAGCGTTAGAAACGCTGAAATTCATGTAAAAACATCACAAAAAAAACGCGCCGCAGGCGAAAATTTTCTATGGACAGTTGACACACTAATGAAAAACAGCGCCGCAGGCAAAAAATTTTTGGAAAAATAGGCTTCATAGAAGTAAAAACCGTCTTAAAAAGAGTAGCGAACAGCGCCGCAGGCAGAAAAATTTTTATTGAAAAAATCATAAGGGTCCCCCCTTATGAACTTTTCGGCCTTCGGCCAATTTTGGGGCAACTTGCCCCTGTTGCCCCCTCGTACGCCCCTGATTGCGGGTCAGGGGTCACGTTGCCTTCACCCTGCTTCACGACCAAGATTAATGATACGGACGCCTCCCCTTGCTAAGCACGATCTATCGATCGGCTGAAGCCTAGTCTGCCCGACGCCATTTTCTAGCAGAAGAAATTGGCCGTATCAGGGACTTTGCCGTCGTTGGCTGTCAGTTTAGGATTGCCGCTTCTCTGGCTATACCACTTTTCTTTATCGATTCAGCGAAACCTTCTTGTATTTTAGTTGTAATAAGTTCTGAAATTAAGGTCACTGTCGAGAGGACTCAGTTTGGTATTACACCTTTTTTTAGCTCTTTGATGATACCAAGCCGTACCGACTAAATGGATGCGCTTATAGGAGAGATGATGTCAAACAATTTACGTCATTCTATGGAAAGCTGGGACCAGGTAAAATTTGAAATTTATTTAAAGTGATTTGTGCTTGAATCCACCGGCGAATTCATGGAAATCAAGTACATTTCAGGCACTATCGCTCCAGTCCGGAATCCGAAAGATCGCATCCAGGTGTTGCGAAGATGCGATAGTGAGGTATCGAGAAATCATGCCGGTCATGTAAAAAAAACAGAATCGGTTCCTTTTTTTCTCGAGAATGCACGGGTCGCCGGTCGATCGCGCTTTACTCACCGCCCCCTCCCCTTCGCCCCTGTCGCTCCGGGTTGTGAAATCGGACCGTGAGAAATGATTTGGCTATAGTTTAGCGCCAGTTCAAAGTTTAGAAAGAAATTGTTTGGACTTACAACCCAACGTATTTTAGCACTATTATTTGAATTAGATGTCTTGGCACTGTAGGAAATGAACGTCAGTAGGAATAGCTTATAAAATCGCGATTCGGCCAGAATCGGCAAAAAACTTCAGGTTTTTCTTTTTTTGAAAATTCGGGTTTGGCTGTAAATGTTTTTGTTTCGGGGTGCTGACATCTTTTTAGGACTTAATTTTTAGAGGATTTTTAGCGTGGATTTAATCTGGAAGAATCTGTAAAAGTCGAAGCCTGGGACAAAATTGCACGTTTGTCGACCTGCTGTGTACTTGATTCATATTCTGCCACTATGCTGATTTTCCTAAAAGTTTTTTTCGCCAGTCACTATTGGCCTACGCGGCAATCTTTCCAACAGGCTTTCAGGAACTGGGTGGCTGCAATAGGCTGTTAGCTCGGTGTGGTTTTAGGTCTAAAAACTTAGTAAAATGTACGGAAATGATACCATCCTTCTGCAGCTTTCCACCGCATATAATTTTGTTTGTATTTGTGTTTGTTTGTAGGTTTTTTGGTGTTGTCCACATTGTTGTGCGGCATGCCGTGCAATCAGTGATCTCCTCTCCCCCCACGCTCTCTCATCCCGCCGCGCCTCCCCTCTTGCCACCCAGCTGCGAGCGGGTGCGACTGACCGGCCTATACCGGAGTTCATTTCTTGTGTAAGCCTACTATTGGCTGTAGTTTGCGGCCGGGTTCGATCTCGGCCTGTTTGTCTTCTCCTCCATCTAGGTTCAATGGGCCACGTGTGCCAAAACTCTGCAAGCCTTAATTTTTCCGTGATTACAGTGAAATTACTCCTTCCTCTTATCCATCTTCGTTGTCGTGTTCCCGCCCCCTTAAAATAACAATAGGATTACCATGCGTTAAGGGAAAGCCAATGAGTCGCTTAATTTCATTCAGTAATGACGGCGTTAAAAAGAAAAATAAGAGGCTCTTAAAAAAGTCCTTTTCATGTAAATTGTATTCATTCATGTAAATTGTAATTTCATGTAAACCGATGTCCGACGTTCCTGAAAACGACCGCCGATGGGAGCGGAATTTGGGAGAGGCTGTGGGAGGTATTTGAGAGTTTCGTCGGCGTTATTATGGCAATTTCAGGAGGCATCCGCGAAGTCAGACTATTCCATGCCCGTCGTGCCGTGCCACCATCCACCCCTCCGCGCACTTCCGGTGCCAGTCTCGACCTGGTTCCTTCCAGTCACTACAATGGTCCGACAGCTGGTGCGTTTCGCTATTTTTAACCCTGAATTAGTTAATTTAGCACCAAACCGAGCGACTAAACGTCGTTCAGATGCTGAGGTGGCTCCACAAATCGGAAGTCTCTCCAAACGCCGACGTCGTCAGGCGACCCTGAAAAAGGTATTTAGATTCACTAGATCCTGCAGCAGGGGCTTCCGCGGCGTTTGCTATTCCATAAAATTGCAGATCCGCGGCTTCATTGTGCCGCGACGGGTGGCTGATCGTGATAGTAGTTTTTGTCGCACGCACATTTGCTGTCGTTCCCCGAATCTATCCTTTCCACCACCCTATTTTGGCTAGCAGAGATAATTAACATTCTCAAGGCCGTAGAAAGGTAGAAATTTCGTTAAATTTTGCTTCAAACGAGCACGGAACTTGCTACTCGGGAGGAGCTTCCATATAACCGAACAGTTTTTAGGGTTCGGAAACCGCGGCCCTGGTGTGGTTCGAGAAGCCCGAAATGCCGGGTGAGTTTATGGTTCAGTAAGTGACAACGTTATTGGCCAAAATTGCAATTCATCTCGACTGCAATCCTACTATATATATAAAAAAATAGTGTCTGTGTGTGTGTGTGTGCCACTTTGCATCCACTTCCGTCTGTCTATCCGGAGGATATCTCAAGAAGGGACGAGTATTAGGCTACGTATGATACGTCATTAGGTGCGTAATGGTCTAGGGATGACTGCACACATATCAGCTTTTCAAAAATTGGCCATTTTCGCTATTAAATTTAGGTTTTTGTAAAAATCTCTTTGTTAGGGATAATTAGCATAGAGCGGAAGTGGGGATTCGACTATATAAACGGTCAGAAGAGGTTTTTTCATTTTTGTCATCATAATGCAGGGTAATTATGCAAAGGTTTAGGATAATATGGGGTCAGACGGGGCCAGGGTTGAAAAGTCGCGAAGCGGCTTTTCAACCCTGGTCACTGCTTAAGAAGACATTATTTCAGAACATCAGGTCACCAGCGTCCGGGATAACGATGTCCTGTTGGATTGTTGGGGTCGCGACCCAGAATATAGGTAAACCTCCATCTTCCACAAGCCTAAATCCGGATATTTAGAAGCATCGCATTGCAGAAACTCGCCGACAAAAGCAGCTACCTCCTCCACCCGTGCCATCAGACCTGTATCGCAAGAAGGTTGCCATTGACGAGAAAAAGAAGGGAGGGAGGACGGTGGGTTTTCTGAATGGTAGTCCTCGAAACAAATGAACCACCGTGTTTTCTTTCTAAACTAGTTAAATGACCGACGGCCATTTTTAGCGCCACCCCAAAAACGAGATTAATCCGTTTCTCGACATTAAAGACGAAGAAGTGGACAAGCTATACCAATTGCGGAACAGTAATGATTTGGAAAAGACGCTCCACCCTCAGGTAAGTGCAAAAATACCGCGATTAGTAACCGATCACTTTCAGATGCAGAAACGGCTTGACGAATATCACGCCGCGGGTCCGGCTGCTAAATTCGAGGCGCAAGTGGCTCTCTGGAAATACTTCATAGAGTAAGTTTACATGCGACTGTTTTTGCACCGGACCAGATTTTAAACGCTAAAAACAAGCGATGGAACCATTTCTTTACATGATTCTTGTTTCCAGGCGCATCATCAACAACCGCCAATCGGAAATTACCCACGCGAAAAAAGCTTTGGCGGAATATGAAGCATACCATGTGGGTATCTCGTTTAGTTATTAATAACAGGAAACGACCGTAATTAGCAACTTTCATTCTTAGGCCGCGAACGCTGCGAGGATCGAGTCCGATGTCGAAGCAGCTCCGGAGGACGAAATGATCGATCGGCTTAATCTTTCAAATGAAAGGTACTTTGGGATTTCAAAAGGCAGATTCGTCCTGGATTTGCCTTGCTATCCTGACAAAAACTAACTAAGTCAAGTGTCTCCAACGAATCTAATTCAGCGAATACGACCTTGTCGACGAAGAGGATGCAGACATGGCGGGACACGCGTTTGATTCATCAGTGGGTTTTGTCTACATTTTTTTGCTTGTTTTGGTAGTATATAAAATCATCAAGGCAGAATAAAGTTTATGTATTTTTAGTTCTCTACACCAATGAACAACCAGATCTGTCATGCGAATTTTTCTGAAGCAGGGCCATCTACCTCACAAGCCCCGGGGCCACCTTGCAACTGTGCTAAATGGTAGATATATTTTTTTAACGCTCGAGCTGGACCTCTTACCGATACTTTAGGTCGAATGTTCTGACCGATACTTGGTCAAAGTCAATCCAAAACTTCACTCTTTACAGTTGTCCCACGATGAGCCATGCAGGGATGCAAAACACGAGACCAGTTGCTCCAGGAGATGAGGTTAGTTATTTCAATATAGAATACTCGCTCTCCACTCTATCTCATTCCGCTCAAAATCGCGAAAAATTCGAAAACATAGATTGCTAGAGACGTAATTTTTAGGTATCGAATGACTTGGAGGGTTTCTTAGCATTCGAGTTCGCCGACTTTTTGCACCCCGGATCTGTCCGCAGCTAAGCGCGACCTACTACAGGGGCTAGAGACCGCTGTCACCGCAATTCGATGTGGGTCATTCAAGAGTTTTTGTCGACAATAAGATACTTATTAAAATCATTGTTAAACCTGGTAAAACCTAAGGCCCGATTTTCAGCAATCGAACCTGCCGCTGGCGTCGTATTTCAAAACCTGGAGCATAGCACCCAAGTGGACCGTGCGAGGATTTTTGCCCTTGTGAGAGAAGTTGCCAATTTCGCTGACGGTAAGAAGGTTCAGGAATGAAATTATTCTCCGAGGGTGCAAAAACCTTGAAGCCCATCGGTCCATGAAATTTTAGTGATGCTATGTCACGACCTCGATCCGCCGACGGAGGTGCAAAACGTGCAGTTTTCACAGGTATGCGCCACTGGCTAGGATCTGAAAAAACAACTTTTTTTGACAGCTCGATGATCTACAGCTTACTCCTCCGGGACTAGCCTTCCCAACTACGCCTCAACACGACGACCACCCCTACTCTCCGCAACCCGATCCGATCTAATGCAGTATTTTCCCGGATCAAGATCTCTGTGTTAAATCCTAAGAATAGAAGGTTGTGAACTCAAAGTTGGACTTCGTGATGAAAGATAATCCATATTGATCAGTTTTTTTGCGCTGATTCCGAATATTATATTAGTTTTACCCAATGTATATATTAGCTAAAAAAATCGGATTTTACCCATAAAAAGTCGAATATCTCGACAAGTATTGGCATTGGGCAAAAACTGATTTCAGATTCGGTATCAGAAAACTGGTCTAGATGAGTAACCTTTCATATCAGTGCAAGTTTTAGTTTGCAACCTTCCCTTGTAAGGCCCCACTCTGAATCTCCCAGAGCAGGTGGCATATAATGAGTACCCGTGCCACCAAAGCTTTGACATAATTCGCTTACCTCCTGACACCCCTTCCAAACATCTCAACATCATTCGCACCCACTGCCTTGCCCGAGTGAGCTAATGGTTTAAGATTCCTTGATGTCCAACATGTTCTCTAACATAACCCCAATAACTGTTCAAAGATTGTACTTAGGCTGTAAAACTTGGGAAAATGCGTCGGCTTAACGTTTTTACCGTGATCCTGGGCGCTTTTGAGCAGGTTGTAGTGCTAAAAAGGATATAATCGCTCAAAATCCCCAAAAATAAACCCATCCCCCTACCACAATCCCCCTCCCCTCCCGGTTGATTGAAAATATCGGACCCCTCGGGTTACGTGAGAGGAAATACGGTCCCATTTCTTGATCCGATTCGTAACTAGATCCCAGTGAAACAACTAGTCACGCTTTACCGTTATTGTTTAATAAATTTTATCCATCCGTAGACGCTTCTCTGCGTAAGCACCACACCACCACACATTTTCTAGGAAGAAAAACAAAGCTCTATTTCTTTGTCATTTAGCCGATCAAGATATACGTGAGCTCGTAACGTCGCTAGATACCTACATCTGGTTTTTGGATCGCGGCGTCTTCATCTTCAGTTCACGACAATCTATGACCCGCGTGACAAAGATTCGTATTCGGTGCTCCTGGAATTTTTCGATATGACATAGTTTTTCAATTTCGAAAACCGCTAAACCATAACGATTTTTGAAAAGGGGTTTATCGAAGTCCGCATTATGCGCAACACAAGCACCGTAGTCGTTCAAACAATTTTTAAAAGCTGGTATTTGCTTAAAATTCGAAGCTCTATCGAATGAGAACGACGCTCAACAACAACACAATCTCCAGAAGCCCCTGGTAATCACTTTTTGTTAGAATTTCGAGTTGGGTGGCACCGAGGTCGTCAATCCGGCCACGTTAATTCTTCACCAAGCGGAATAATTTATTACTTGCTTCAACTACCCCGACTTTAAGCTGTTCATGCTCCACACCTTTGGCTCGTGACGTAGAGTATTGATTAGAGTGGGGGGAGGGGTTTGCGGACGATTTTCTAGTGCAAGAATTCGGATGCAGCTTTCCCCCGGCGTCCCATACCCGGGTCACCAGGGCCACCCGATCCAACATATCGATCCACGGGTCTAATACACTTAATATTACAAATTTCAAGACAGCACACCACTCAAGTTTTTTCCTTTTATTGCTATTGAACCTCTTGTTTTCGACTCGAAAGCCCTTGCGTAATAGGAAAGCTTAAGTCAGGATAAGTTTACTTTGCGTAGGAATTCCCTTCGGTTTTCGATGCTAGAAACATTCTGCATGATGTTCTTGATGAATTTTTGGCAATCATACATAGAAATCGTCGATCGCTTTTACTTCCATGGTGTTTTAATTTTTTTCAAGGTTTTACTTTTTTTAATGATGCTGTGGGTATTTCAGCCATGATGAACCGAGCGTCGACTTCAATGCACATCAACCCTGAATCCGTGCGGGGGTGTTGTAACAATCGTAAGTTTTCGGATCAAATTGCTGAGGTGAGGTGCCCGGGCGAATGCCTTATGCAAGCCTTGCCTCACCAAAAACGACCCGGGCTTGATTGCGTCACCGGCCCAAAAATCAATCCCCAACTTTTTCCAAAACAAACTCAACCTACAAAAAAATAGAGAATTAATATTTTTAAGACTTTTTTTATTTTTGGTAACTTTTTGGCCTTCGGTGGCGCTGGGCGTCGACTTCGCATTTTTGGGAACTGAGTGGTAAAATCGCTGGGGCTGTCCCGCGGACAGCATACGCTGTCGCTTCCCCCATCCTCACCACTGTTCCGTTGCATGCGGCATTTACGCAGTGATGCCAAAACTGCCCGTTCAATACCTCGGATTTTCAAATCCGTAGCATTTTTTAAACCCAACCATCCCCGTGATCAGATGTTGAATTGCTTACCATGGGAGGACAAATTCACGTATTCCAAACTTTACTTTTCTTTTGTGTACAGTAAACTCTAGATATTGTACGGTTCTCATTGTTGACAATTTTAAAGAAGGGTAGAACTCTAGGGAATAGAAGAAGAAATAGGCAATCGGAAAAGCTAGATTTCCTTCAATTCCAAAATTTTCTTGCTACCTAATGATTTAGAATTTTCAGGACGCACAGACGGGCCTCCGCAATGTCGGATAATAGGGATCGATTCGGCAACTGGCAGGATGAGATGGGAAATGCCGTTGAAGGTATCAACTTCAATTTTATGAACGAAACCCAGATTCGATAAGGGCCGGGCAGCTTAAAAGTTGTTAATCAGACTCGCTCGTGGTATGGAAACGTTCAAATGGTAATTGCTGGATAAAAGGAACCCATATTTCTTTATTTATGAGAAGTTTTTCATGAATTAGTTCAGATTTGACGATCTCGGCGCAGCCAGCCCGTCTAGATGCCCATCTACCTCACCAAGCCGCTGCAAATAACGATACAAATACTCTCCGTCCACCAAGCTCCTCTTCCTCTTTGCAGCTACACCGTATCAATGCAACTTCCGGTTCGTTTCAAAAATAAGCTTTGTTCTAAACCTGATTATGCCCCAATTTTAGGCAGAACGCGAGCGGCACGCCACGCTCCGTACGCTGCGCATCGAGATGAAAGACGCCAGAGGCTTCGGGGCGGTGTTCGAGCTGCACAAGTTGTAGGTTAATGCATTAGGCATTTTGTAGATGCAGCTTTTACACGATACAGACTTTTTAGGGAGTCCCAGAGATGGTCGCGGAGCCTCCGCTTCGTCCGCTTGGCCCTAACCCGGACCCAAACGGAGCTGATACGCTGACTATGGAGGTGCATTTCTCCGGATGGAATACGCCGGCGGCTGAGGGCGATGGCACTGCGTTTTTGGTGAGTTTACAAAACGGATAGACCGCACTAATGTTGCAAAAGAGAAAATTTTATATTGGAACGAAACTTTAGGCAAACGACGAACGGGGTCGCGCACCCACGGAGTGCGAAAATTTGCAGGACCGGCTTGCGGAAGCCGGAAACGTCGTACCTGACATCGTCGTCCCGCTTCGCCAGGTCCGTGCTTGTCTTTCAGGGAAAAACAAGGTTTTTGGATGCAAATTGCTGATGGCCAGCCTCGAATGGATCTGGATGCTGACGCGTATGATGGCTTTGTTATCGTCGGACGGTAAGCTTTTGACACGTCGAGATTAAAAAATTTTAGAACCGCCAATGAAGATGACGTGCTCAACTAGCCATCTTGTCCCCGGGTCCGATACGTGGCGTGTAGATCTTTGTTCCCAAAAGTCGCTTTCCCAAAAATTCCTACCTCAACCCAATTCCCAGCATTTCCACAATTACTAGTCATAATCATTCCCGACTTCCACATTTCACCACTGCCAACAACGCCCATACACGCGTATATTCTTAGAAGAGTGCCTTCACCACCTTGAAATTATTAATTCGCTTTTGTCTTTGTTGATTTTGTAATGTAGGTTGAACTGTATGAAATCCGGTGAACCACGTTTGTTTCGTTATAATAAATTTTATCGATCAACAAATTAAAGTGCAAATTTAAGTCAAGGACACAAACGCTGAAATACGAGTTGAAGCTATAGCTTTTGAGGAGGGAGGTTAGAAAATTAGTGAGAAAAATGATGTAGAAAGCTCAGAAAGTTTGAAAATATGTCTCACAAGACAGGGTTGTAAGTGGCAAACGGAGACACTCGTTTGAAAACCGGATAACAGAGGCAAACCGTAAACTTAAAGGCACTGGCGACCATGGTTTTTAGGAAAGGCCAAAACTCGGGCAAAAATTATGTGAAAAAGGAAAATAAGGAACAGAAATACAAAGTAGGCAAATAATAGGAAAAGCAATCAAAAAAAAACCAAAAAACCTAAAAGAGAAAGCGAAAAGTTTAAAAAAAACAATTTGCCGGCAAAGTACAAATCTCTAGTGAAAATCCATGGTAACTTGATCAAAATTGAAATCAACGTCCGAGTAAATTCAAATATAGCTAAACATTAAGCTGCTACTCCGGTTCGACCCGTTCGTAGGGAACCACTTCCGGGTCGTACAGCTCGATGACGCTGCCCCAGTCATGCAGCTGCAGATGCCTCCCATCTTCCCGTTCGAACAAATGGCCAAAGATGTTGGCCATCCGATGCACATCGTCATCCTCGTCGTCATCATCCTTCGAAATGGCGAGGCAATGGATACGACGCTGCCCGCGCCGCCACTCATCCACCATCGCGCAAATGTAGGGGATCACCTCTCGGTGGCTTCTCGTTCCGATTCTCAGGTCGATCAACGAATTCTTGAACGGCATGCAGTCAACAAGCAGTCGCCTTGGTTTCCCGAGCACCAGATACTTTGCATTAACCCGGCAAAATTCGACAAACTCGTCGGTGTCCTCGTACTGCTGGAATCCGAGCTCTTCGAATTTCTTCCCGGGTGGCTTCATCTTCTGCGCCAATTCCAGCGTCAGCGTGCGGGCGTAGAGCGTCAGGGACTAAAAGATTTCTTTAATTGATTTGCTAATCGAGTTTGATCGTTAACTCCTAGGTGGAATAGATATTCCGCGGGCTGAACTGTTAGCGGGGGAGCTTGAACCTAGAATCTTGTAGGGCTCCAATAATCTTAAGTGTAGCTTATATGCAACTTTTAACGTATAGAAAATTCCCAAAATCCGAATTTTACTCAAAAAACTCAATTTTTCGAGCAATTACTTAAAAAATGGAAATTTTTACAATTCCACACTTTTCTCAAATTTTAGACAACGTTATCCCAATAAGGATTTAGGGGAAATAAAAACACTAAGAAATATATTTTTTTAAAAACATAAAAATTTATCTAAGTAGCTATATAAATTGCCTAAAACTAATTAGAGTTTTTCAAAAGCTATTTTTGACTAAAGATTGTTAAGTTTGTGCAATTCTATCATTTTTCTGTTTTTAGGAAGGGTAGTTTTGAGAATTTCAGGTGTATAAAAACACCGATAAAAACTGTATTAAAAGTTATTGAAAAAATCTGGCCAAGTAGGCATATTCTCCATCCCCCGATAACCGTCTAAATATCCCTACCGTATTTCCCTGAATCCATGGCATCAGAGACTCGACTTCGTTCTCGTCAATCCGAATGCTCTCCACCTGCTGCCCAGCCAACAGCAACTTCACCGCCTCCCGGCTCGCCACCGGCATGCCGCGATTTTTGCCCCAAACTCGCGCGAAGGGCACCGGCTCGAAGTTGACGGCTCCTTCCGGGCTCACGTAAACGTTAACGCGCAGCTGTCCTTTTCGGCGATTCTCGACCATTTGCCAGGTGCTGCGACATGCGCAGGCGAGCTCGAAAAGTGACTCCAGCTTGTCCGGCCCGATGGCATCGAGAATTCGTTGCTGTACTTCGTAGGGCATCTGGCAGATGAGCGGCACCTGGAACTCTGCATTTGCTGAGCTGGTAAGAAACATTTATATTTAGGTCGTCAGCCTGAGATTGCTATCGTAATGTCGAAATTTCAAAATGTGGATTTTTTTTGTATAGCATTCTGGGAGATTTGTTTATGTAAATTTCCGACATATAGAAGTTTCGGCATTATGAAGTTTTGACATTATTATTTCGGCATTATAAAATTTCGACGTTATTTTTTCGAGTGTTGCCTATTTTTTTTTTGCTTAACGAACTACCTCTACATCGGCATCCGGAACCGTCTGAATCACCACCAACCGCTTCCGCTCCCGCTTTTGAAATTTGCGGCGCATCCACGCCAACACTTTCCATGCCATCCGGCCTGACTAAAATTTATTTGTGCGTAAATGCCGAAACTGATTCAATTTAAATTTTAAACCGACAAATGCGTAATGTGTAGCCGAGTGAAATGAAATGGGCAGTAATGGAAAATATCAGAGTGATATACATATCAACATCTCGTGCATTTCTCAACCATCCAGCCCCACAATATTGTGAACTGCGTGTTGTAAAAAAGATATGATTCATTGGAAAACACACGCATCGAGAACAACAATAAAAAACATATCGGAATGCGGGTATATTAAAATCAGAATCATATGACGGTCTACTTTACGATGTATCAACGTTAGAAATAACGTATGGTGAGATAAAATCGAGAGCAATTGGAAAATCATACAATTTGCAGCGGGGTTTCAGTTTTTGGGCTTTAAAGGATTTGGAGCAAGCCACAGTCAAATCCTTGGGACGGTATGTATAAGGAGAGTCAGTAAAAAAAAAAACAAAAATTGAGGCGTAATAAATGACGCGGCCTAGCATAAATCACAAAAAACGCATTACATGGCAAGCGGTCGATATGCATCATCGTGGTCTCCCGAGACGGACGTCACTTTCAGTAAGTTTCTTTCTGCGTCAATGCTGCACAACAGCCGATCGGACCCGCCAACGACCTCGATTCGGAATATCTCACGTTTTCCCTCCTGCCATTCCCTGGCCATGACTCGTAGAAGCGCGATGCCGTCTTCGGTACTCCATTTTTTTGGCTTGATGTGGAAATCTGGATGTTTGAAGCCCAGACACGGGGTCAGATCACCATCAACCACGACAGTGAAGTGGTGCACGTGTTCCCTGACGAAGCCGTAGAATTCTGGGGTTTGTTCGAATTCGTTGAGACGGAGGCAGACGAAGTTTTCGTTGCGTGGCTTTAGTTGCCGGGCCCATCGTAGCTTCATGAGCTTGGCCCCGAAGCGGGCAGCCTGGAAAATTGATGCATAAACGTTCGCCTAAAGCTAAGCTCGAGCCCAGGCGCCAAAGTCGAAAAAGTAGTAAGTAAGTCTGAACTCAAGCTCGAAAATAAAGCTGAAGCCAGGCCTAAGCCTAAGCCCAATTCCTAATCCAAGCGTAACTTAGGCCTAAGCCGAAGTCCCAACTAGGGCTAAGTCAACAACTAGTCAACTAGCCTGAACCTAAGCAGAACCGAAACCTAAAGCGAAGCCAAAACCTAAGCCCAAGCTTAAACCGCGACCTAAGCTTAAGCAGCTCGCCCCCAACCTCGACATAAGCCTAGCCTAAGCCCAAATGCATACCTTCTACGGCTCAAATCATCTACATTCCTGGCACCTAAGCATAATCAAAACCGAAATACTCACGGTGGTCCCCTCCAGCCATTCCAACACCGGATCCAGGTCGTCTGTTTTGCTGTGGAAGCCCCAGATTTTGCGCCACCCGAACAGCAGCCTCAGCACCTCCGGCGATGCCCTGCCGTGCTTTTCCGAACGCGGCCAGAAAATTTGTGTCCGGCCGCTGGCCTTGACGATGAGGCGGACGTGCAGCTCCCCGGGCTTTCGAGCCCGCTGGACCATTTGCCAAGTGGATCGGCAGGCGCGGGCGAGTCGCAACATTGACTTCAAATCATCGTGGCCGAGCTGGTCGAGGATGTGTTGTTGCACTGCGAGTGGGAGCTGGCAGAGGATTGGAACCTGAAAATTCATGGGTTGTATCTAGCACTCTCTAGCACAGACGGTCTCTTTCTCTCTCCCTCTCTCTCTCTCTCTCTCTCTCTCTCTCTCTCTCTCTCTCCGTATACCTACCTCCGCCTCCGCTTCCGGAACTGTCTGAATAGGTTGTCGCCTCTTCGCTTCGCCCCCGCCACTTCCGCTTCCAGATTTTCCGTTGAGCCACGTCCAGAAAGACCACGTCATCTGGAGAAAGCTTTATTTCGGTAAATAAAGCAGCTTGGAAAAAATGGAGGGCATCAAAAAAAGAAAATAATAGACAAGAATGAACGGAGAAAAGCAGTATTTTAATTTCAAGAAAACAAAGAAAAGGTACAGAAGGGATAGAGACTAACAGATTACTACATCAAAGAAACGGCGTCAGATTCGCTTGGATCCAATTCAATCAAATATCCGTTGCTCGTCGTTCGATACAGAATTTTCTGCCCATCATCCCTTTCGTACTCCGCGGAGAGCGCAGACGGAGGTCTTCTAGGAGACGCTATCACAATCTGGATATCCCGCTTCCCCACCCTCCATTGCGCAATCACCTTCTGCACATAGCTTTCCCTTTGTTCTTGTAGATGTTCACAGATCTGGATGCGTTGATTTCGGTTTTTGAGTATTAGGCAGTCGTTCAGACTTTGAGGGTGGAGGATGTGGATGCTCTGCGCGACATCGGAACCGAGGCAGCAGTGAGCGGCTGCCTCGAACCGCCGAAACTGTACGGCTTCGAACGGTCGGCCCTCCGGCTTCAGCGCTTTCGGCCAGTGCATCCTCAACGTGCTGACACCCAGAACTTCAAGGGTCAGCGCCTAAAAAACCGTAATGAGCTTTTTTCGGCTACCCGTTCATTTGATATAGTTAAAACAAGCTCGGTCGCTAGGCTATTTAAGAGCGTACCTGTAATCCCGGCAACCTCGTCGAATTGCAGCGAAACTCCGGATCTTCGATGTAAAGTGTCGGTACGATGCGGCCAGCAAACAGCAAGTTGATGGCGTCAATCCCGCGTACGTTCCAGCCGTAATGATGGCCGTGGTCGGGCAGACAGCCCGATGGGTTGCTCGCCCAGATCTTCCCTTTTGGCCTGGCGGTCAGTAGCAGATTCACAAGGGAAGGTTGTTTGGGTCAGGTGTCAAATCGACTTGAAACTTTGCCAGTGGATAGAAAATCAAAAATAAAGTGGAGTTTCTTAATCTCATTTTTTGCACAATACCCCAAATTAAAAAGTTATAGGTCTTTGAAGTTACGTAAAAAAGCACGAAACTACCCCACAATTTTGATCTGGTCCTCATTGTGGCCTGCCCCCTTTTCAAGCTCTTGCGTCGCCCGGACTGGCAAGCTGTTTGGCGCAGTAGGTAGTGCCGTAGAGTGCAAAACTTTTTAAATTTTTGTAATCGAGTTCAAGTCTTTGCTGCGTCGAACTTTTTGCTTTTTGGATTTTACGCCAACTAACCCTAATTTGCAAGAGCAAAAAGCAAAAAGCAAAAAGATAGAAAAGTTGTAGTCTCGAACTTTTGCCAAAAATTTTTCAAAAGATTGTGAGTCAACCGCACTACCGATTGCGCTAGAACAGACGTGGGGAGCGGAGACGAGAGAGGGTCAAGAAATCACGCATGAAGAAAATGTGGAAACGGTGCGGTATTGGTGCAAAAGCCTGCGCAGAACTCATTTTTCAGACCACAAACTTAAAATGCTTATAACTTTTTAATTAGGGGTATTGTGCAGAAAACGACTTAGCGCACCTTGTTCCGTTTTCAATTTCCTATCCACTGGCCAATTTTCAGAAAGATTTGACACCTGACCCAAACAACCTTCCCTTGTCAGCTTCTTCTCTGGCCGATTCCTGACCATGATCCAGGTGGAGCGGCAGGCTAGAGCAAGTTGAAAAAGCGCCGGCACATTCTCGGGACCGATGTAAACGAAGATTTCGGCTTGGACCTCGCGTGGGAGGTGGCAGATGAAGGGTTTCTGAAAGTGAGGTTTTAACGGTTTTACCGTACCTAATCGCATTACTTTTCTCTAAAATCCTCTATATAATCCTTTTTCATTAAATTAAAGTGAATTTTTTTTGTATTTATTGATTCCAAAATTTGGGAGTATTTTAAATGGCAGCTTAAAGGGTTTTAAACCTTAGACCTTTGCGGGATTAAAGGGTGAATTCGATTTTCTGGAGCATTTTCCGCTTAAAACTACGTTTCACTTCGTGAATTTGTAAAATTCTAACTATTTTTATGCAGTTACAACTACTTTTAATAACTGGGTACTTCCAGACGATTGTAATAATAATTTACTCGGATTTTGTAAGAAGAAATTTTCTAAAGAAACTGTCGCCCAAAAATCTTGAATTGTTCCACGATTCAAAGGTTAAAAATTTGATTAATACATAATTTTCAAAATATATAAACCCATTCCAAAACTCAACTGTTAAAGCGGGCTATTACTCCGGATTTAAACTTCGGACAACGTACCTCGGCATTAGCATCAAAGCGCAAAATGGATCGTTCTGCCGGCGGTGGCCACAAGCTTCTGATGAATGAATAGAAGCATTCCAAGCCGACCATAATGGTTAGCTGTCGGTATAATTAAGCAGCAGCATGCAAGAATATTTTAAATAGCCTCCAATGTTTAGGAGGCAGTGAGGAACAGAGTTAGTGAATGACACCAGCAGTGGGTTGACAAGTTCGCGCGGCAGTGCCGTAAGTATCGTTTCTTGGCGGGGGGGGGGGAATGGCCTAGTGATGGCCATCTGCCCCCGTTTGCATATTGATTGCTTGCCATCGAGGGAAGGGTCTATCATCCTTGCGAAATGGCGGAGAAACGGTGGTGGCGGTTGTTTATGGGAAGAAGGAGGTGTTGTGGTCGGTATGACCCGAGTGGCGTGGAAAAATCCTTTAATAACGGGCAATCGACCTAGAGAAATGAGGGTTGAACAGTGTATGCAAAAGCTTAAGAACACGCGAGACAAAGAAAGAGCGAGAGAGAGAGAGGGAGAGAGAGAGAGATATAGAGTTGGCGAGAAAAAAAAGATATAAAAATCGATAAAACTAATGAAGAAGAACCTCGAGAGACCGGTGCACTAATGAGCACCCAACTCAAGTCAGCGCTTTCCCCTAATTTGCATAAATCAACTAAGCTAAACTACTCGCCTTATTGAGTACTAAAGAAAGCGAACCGATCATAATCAAAAGAACGAAAAAGCTATTCTTAAAATCGAAAACGGTGAAGGTGACGTCGATCGTGAATTCAAGCTTAATGCACTCCACCTAATTAATCGCTATAATTCCGACGGCATCAAGTTCTTTTTAGAGAGCTGGTTTGCCTTTCGTCATTTTCGCCTATCCGAATTTTGGCTGTCGGAAGATGGCGTTTTCATGTGAAGTTTTTATCGTTAGGTGCAGATTTTTAGTTAGGATCTTTGCGCAAGGTTTATTTTTACAAGCCCGATAGATAGAAATGCAATTAATTATTTAAAACACGAGCCCCAACTCAGCGTAATGCAACATGGACCACTTGAAAGCTAGAGAATTACGGTAGGAAATAAAGGTCAAATAGAAGTGAAGGAAAAGAAGAACATCCAAAGCAATAATATCGATCGATTTCTAGAGCGATCTAGGTAGTGCAAGAACATGTAATCAGGGGTCCACACCGGCCACCCTCCCGTCGTACAAACTAACGAGGCTAGCCCCATCGTGCATCACCAGGGTGTCTCCGTCTCCATCGCCACGCTTCAACCGCTCCCTGTCGAACAAACGATCCGAATCGTCAGTCCAAACGTGAATCCGCCAAATCTCGCGAAGCCCTTGCCGCCACTCATCAACCAACTGCCTCATGAAAGCAATCGTATCTTTCTTGCTACATTCCCGGATCTGTAAGTACATATCCCGATTCGTCAGCAACAAGAGATCCTTAAACTTTGCGGGACCGTTGATGAAAAGACGGGCGACGTTGTCTCGGCACTATTCACGAATTTCAGCGCTCTTTGGGACGTCTCGAAACTCCAGCTTCTCGTATTTTTCTTCGTCCGGTTTTAGAGCTTGTAGCCATGACAGGTTTTCCATGTCGAATATGGTGGTCTCTGCCTGAAAACGGTGACAGATTATGAATTTTTGCCTTAGTAGGGGGGATTTTCGAAAAACGCCCCAGAAAAGCTTAGTAACTAGTGCGTTCTTTTGAATAATTTTTACTGCAATTCGACGATGATTAATTTCGAAAACTATCTAAGAGCTCCAAACCACCTTTCAAAATTCTAAATTTAGTCGCAAATTGTTCATTTTTGTGAAATAACAAGATTTTTGTCTATAGTAAAAATTGTTACTGAGTAAAAAGTGGTTTTGGAACACTACTCCTTTTTGTATTAACAAACTCAGATATTAAAGAAAAGTTTTCTCCCCGATAATACAAAAAGCCTGGCCTGACGAAGTATCAGGTTGAAACGAAATTTCTGCCGCCGAGATTTTGGGAGGCTGGCTAAATCTGTAGATAGCTTCATTCTGGACATGCGACATGTCATTTTGTAGCTCTCGACCTGAATCGTTTTGGGAGGAGTGTCCCGGGCCGCCAAAATAGAGGAGGGCCGAGATACAGGCCCAAGAAGTTTTTTTCAAAATTGCGCAAAAGTGTTTTTGCAAGTTATCTCTGCATAGAGCAATTTGCATGCAATACCATTCACGCCAATCGATAGCCCTCGAGGAGTAGATATCGATAGATGGTGAGATCATGAAAATTGGACACTGGATGGCCGAGATATGGCCCCTTGAAGTTTAGCCCATTTCTTAGAATCTTTCCCGATTTCCCCTACATTTTTTCAAAATCCGCTCCGCTAGTCTAAAAATAAAGCGGCAATTTTCGGCACCGGTCCGTCAAATTTTTGGAAATGTATGGGATTTCGAGAAAAGTTCTAAGGAATGGGCCAAACTTCAAGGGGCCATATCTCGGCCACCCAGTGTCCAATTTGATGATCTCAACAGCTATCGATAGCTACTCCTCGAGAGCTATCGATTGGCGTTAATCGCATGCAAATGACTCTAGACAGAGATAACTTGCAAAAACACTTTTCGGTGATTTTGGGAAGAACTTCTACAGCGTGTATATCGGCTGTCCTTTATTTTGACGGTCCAGGACCTTCCTCCCGAAACGATTCAGGTCGAGAGCTACAAAATGACATATCGCATGTCCAGAATGGAGCTATCTACGATTTTAGCCAGCCTTCCAAAATCTCGGCGAAAGGACTTTCGTTCCATCCTGATAAAATCTCGCTAAATAAATAGGATCAAAATCATACCGCAATTCCTTGAAGCCACGGCAAAACAGGTTCGGGTCGAGGGCAAGCCACCCAGATTAGCCGTATTTTACTCCCAAAAAACAGCAGCTTCATCACTTCCGGGCTCATTTCCTGGGTTTCATCCCAGTGCAGTTGAATCCAACCATCTTCTAAGTATTGGACCCTTCCCTCCTCATCAATGCGCAAGCATGAGTCTTGGAATTTTGTATTTGGCTTCCTTGGCCGTTTTTCGACCATTTGCCACGTCAAACGAGATGCGCATGCCAATTTGAATAGCGTTTTCAGGTCGTAGGGTCCGATTTCCGTCAAAACGCGTCGCTGGGCTACGCGTGGAAGACGGCAGATGGGTGGTATCTAAAGGTTTATTATCATAATGCCCAAATAATGTCGAATCATAATGTCGAAATTTCATAATGTCGAAAACTCAGGGCTTAATTTAATATGTCGATTTCCTTTACATAGAATTTTTGCTTTCGAGAAGATTTGTTTACGTAAATTTCGGCATTTTGAAACTACGACATCCTCAACCTTGGCACTGGAATTTCGACATTCCGAAAATTCAAACTGAAATTTGAAATATGTTTTTTTCGACATTATGATTTTCAACGTTTTGAAAGCAGACCCTCGCAGCTACCCTAACCATTGCCGTTGATTTACAATTTTTCCATTAAATATAAACTTTTTTTAAAACTGTTAGCTTTTAAAAACCTACATCCAAGTCCGCATCCGGAATCGTCTGAATCGCAATTCTCAACCGGCACTTTTTTTTGTGAAATCGGCGACGAAAAAACGCCCAAAACGTGCACGCCATGCCTGCAAATTTTACTCATAAAGTTAATACAACAAATTAGCCATTGCACAAATAAATGAATCGTCCAAAGAACTATTTAAAAACACGGAATAATCAGCGTAAATGCGCAAATATCACTATAAAAAATCGACAGGCTTGGTAGGTTTCCGATCGTTTCTTGTTCAGCTCATTTTCTTGTACAGCTGGAAGTAGCTGCCGTGGCGAGACGTAAGCGCCAACCCAGCATCTACGGCCCGCAGCCCGGCTTTGCTAACCACAACCCAACGATAGAACGTCGTCACCTCGACTCGCCGCACATCGCGTAGCCCGCGTTGCCACTCCTTTGCGATAGCCCTCAAAAAACGCAGTACTTCCGGTTTCTGGCGCACATCAACCCTGATTGAGAGCACAGGGTGCCTAAAGGCCAAGCACTCCCGCAGACATCCCGGCGAATCGACCGTCAAGACATCGACGTAGTTTTGACAAAATTCAAAAAATCTCGGCGTTCTCTCAGATCGTCGAAGCGTCATCTTGAAGAAGTTTTGGTCTTTGGGCTTCAGCTTCTGTGCCCATTCAAGCTTCATGAATCGGGCCACGACGGTGGACGCCTGGAAAAAATAGATCGTATTGATAGTTCATAAGGGGTACTTTAGAAATGGCGAAATTGATAATGTCAAGCTTCGTGACGTCGAATTTAATAATGCCGAACTTTGCATATGCTTTCCGGAAAATCTTTCAACTTCTATGACAACAGATTTGGCCATTTTGAAATTCGGTATTGTGAATTTTGACATAATTTTAACCATACATTATAATGGCAACTTAGCAAACGTTAGAACTAAAAATTTGTATTTTCCTTATTTCCCTTGCCCGCTCCTTTTAGTCGAATATCACCACACGTCTCCCCTACCGTCATCCCCACCAGCAGCGACAAGACGCGCTCGGGGTCGACTGCTTCAATACGGATCCTCTCCACGTGTCGCCGCGCGAAAAGTAACTTCGCCGCCTCCGGACTCATCAACTTCATCCCCTTACGACGGTCTTCTCTCGCTACGTTTAGCAAGAGTCGAAGGCCCACTTCTCCGTTCCTGTTCACCAACAGCTCAACCTGCGCCTCGTCTTTTCGTGCACGTTCGACCATTTGCCACGTGGAGCGGCAGGCGCGGGCAAGCTCGAACATCGTTGGCAGCTCATCATGCCCGATCTCGTCGAGGATTCGCTGTTGAATTTCGGGAGGCAGCTGGCAGATGAATGGGACCTGAAAATTTCTAGTTTATAGAAAAGATGGTAAATTACTGCGTTTTTTGAGATTTGGAGAGTGGTACCAAAACTTTATGTGGATGATCCTAAAAACCCACCTCAACATCGGATTCCGGGATCGTCCGAATCGGCTGGCGTTCCTTCTTCCAAAATTTTCGTAGCATGCATGGCCAAAGCGTACATCTCATTTTTGCGCTTGTGTTGCCAGTTGATAGGGGTTGTCCAACAAATTTCGACTTGAAAAAGTGGTATCGGAAATGGAAAGAACTAATGTTTTGCAGCCAAAGAGCGCCCGGGCGATGGGAAACTGGCCGTTTTTGGACCTTGTTTGTCGTGACTCACATCTAGTCATTGTCGAATATCTAGTGCAATGACTACCCCGAAAATGCCAAAAATTGAATGTGGCCTCCAGGTTTTGTCCTGTAAGCCACAAAATTCAGAGCCCATAAAATTCTGAAAAAGGTCCCTGGACTCGCCGGTTGTTTTGAGTATTTGATGTCAATTACTTGAAAAAAATATGTTTACTACGACAGTAATCGTCTGCATTGGCTTTCTGCGCGGATCAGAGTCGCTAATTTCAGCTGTCATTTCCGGATGAGCGCTAAAAAAGCGGAATGGAAATCGATTTTGCCCATTTTCTCGGCCAGTGCATTGAACGCTGTGCTAGTGATTCATAGCACTTCTCGTGTTGATTTGCGACGTTCTTCCAAGTAATCAGCATCAGCAAACTCGTGAAAAGTTCCGGAAAAGCATTGTAATGCCGGGCCTGCAAGATTACGAATCAGCAATCACGAATCAAGTTGAATAAATGTTCAGATTTTACGATTTCGTTCCAAAAAAGTGATTGCACGTGAATGAAAAAAATGATTCCAAAAAAAACTGCATTACCTTTTTAAAAAATGGATTTGAGACTTTCTCTCATCATTGCAGTCTGATGCGCCGGAGAATTTCTGTATGGCACGAAGCGGGCTCGGAGCACCACGAACCCCCCTACGCTTCAATACGTCTTAGGAACGTAACTTTTCTTGCGTCATAAAACTCCGAATATTTAAGGCTTTTGCGGAACTGATAACTTATTCAGTAAAAATTTTCAAAAGTATTATTTAATGTATTCTTTGAACCAGGCTTTACGTTTTTCTCGAAATGTTTGTAAATGAAAATTTCGTGGAATTCAATGGAAATGTTTAACTCGATTCTCGGCACTTTAATTCTTGTAAATAATGCGAAATTGATCCCCATTTAGTGAAACCCATCTACGTTTGTCTACTTAAAAAGGTATTAAGCCCTTATTTTACTATTTTAATTCGTCGGGCTTCGGGCCCGCACGTGAACTCTTCGCTTATCAGCGCTCTAAAAAATTCCCGCGCTACAATCGATGGCACGGCAACAAGACAAATGCCAAAGCTTCTCCGGCACTTCTCTTCCGTCATTATTCTCTTACTTCACCGGAAAATTGATCCTTCTACCAGGGAGACACCATCTATTTATGTTTTTAGCCTTACGTGCAAAACCATAGACCGCAAACTGAACGCTGAAATGTTTGGAGAAGCAGGTAAGTGAGTATGACGGCAACTAAAAGTCATTGTAAGCCGTATTAAAATAAAATTAAATTGGATTTATCAAGATTTTAGGGTCTCGTCCCCTAAAGCGGAGGCGTCCGGAAGATGCGGAATTTCATATGTCAGAGGAGCCGGTGCTCTTCGTGCCTTCACTGGACCTGCTCGACAAACATCAAGGTTAGACTGACTTATAAAGGGTTTTGAATGACATTTTCTATGATTGTACATAGTGTGTACAGGGGAGCTATTTTATAAAATGACACAACCCGACCATAATTTACAGAAATGCTGAGGTACAGCGACCGGCAGCTGGATGCCGTGCTGGGGCCCGGCAGCCCGTTTGCCGATTTTGAGCCGACAACCCCTGAAGAAGCGCTTATGGAAAATACATGTAAGTGGGTTCTACAATGTGGAAATATCCCTATTCGCTTAACTGTAATAACTATTGTGCATTTTAGTCGAAAACGTCGGCGTGGACTTTGTGGATTTGGAGCAAGAGGGATCGAGTGGCTCGAGTAACGATAGCCCTCCTAGCGGAAAGCCTGGTAAGTAAGCCAAAACTGAAGCTAAGCTAAGTCAAGACTGAAATTGGCCAAAACTGAAACTAGCCCGAAGTCGAAATGAAGCATATGCCTAACAAGCATAAGCCAAAGCCTAAGCCGCCACCGAAACCCGTGCCTAAGTCTAAGCCTAAGTCGATAAGCCTAAGCCTAAGTCGCAGCCAAAGTTTAAGCCGAAGCTTAAGCTAAGGCTAAGGCGATAAGCCTAACTGTAAAGTGTTTTTACTCAAGTTGGAGTTTCGATTCGGGACCAAGTGCATCTTGTGCAGAATTTTTCGCTGATTCCGAATAGGCTTGCCAAATTTGCTGCGAACTTTTATTTTGAAAGTTATACAGCAGTTATGTTAGTGTTTTTCACCAAAATCAAGGAACCGTTATGGTTTTGGATTTTCCTGATCAATTTCAACTTCAAAATTGGCAAGAGATTGGCTAGACAAACATCTTAAAAGTCAAAACAGGCTTTTTGACAAAAAATTAAATTTTTTTATGCAAAAAGCAAAAGATAGGTGCAGGGCGGGGATCCGAAACGGCCCCCTGCGCTTGGCAATCGAGTACTTTGTCAATGCACCATGGTGCCAACCGGGAGGCGAGCTGTGACAGAGTACTTCAGGGCCTCTGGGAGAGGCAGAACCATGGAGGGAATAGTGGACCAGGATCCGAATTTTTGGCTTTTTCAAGCTTAATTTCCACCAAAAATGACTTTTTAAATAAAAGTCCGCAGCAAATTTGGAAAACGCACAAGACGCACTTGGTCCCGAATCGAAACTCCAACTTGAGTAAAAACACTTTACAGTAAGTCTAAGCCGAAGCCTGGCCCAGGCCTGGAATTAAGTCTAAGCAACAGGAATCATCAACAGCGTTTCAGGAACTGCTCTGGATGCTGGCGTGGACGCCTGGATGGAAATGGCAAATGTCGAAAATGGTCAGAAAAATTTGAAGGCATTTGCATTTTTGTAGAAAATGATGGCAACAATGGTACTAAGGACCGGAAGATGGAAATCGATGCTGATAATGACGATGATCAAGGTAGAATTTATGATCTTACTTTTATGAGTTTTAGGACTATCTTTCGGGATAGATTTCCAAGACCAGATCCCTGGCACATCATCGGCGACGACAGTCGAGATAACCTGGAATACCCGGGTTCGGGGGGCCAATGGAGAATTGTTGACGACCTGGCGCTCGACGGAATGGCAGTAAGTACGAAAGCTCATTCAGACGCGAATTTTCAGAAGTACTGACTGGGCGGAGCATGTCGTCGCCAAGAAGCTTCCGCCGGTCCCCGAGCCACACGTCCTGTACGCTGAAGTGAAAAGGGGGGTGCAGGTACGGAGGGGTTTTCGGAACTCAATGTCAATTGCCGCTTTCAGAAACTGTTTTCCAAGGAAATTGATCCCTACCACGAGCTGACGGACGACGACTGCGCACGAATCAAAAATTCCGGCAATAAATCGGCCCTAAAAAAGGTCTATAAGATTCTAGAAGTTATAAAAAGACTATTTTTAGTATTTTTAGTATGCACCGCCAAGCCTAGGCTCGCGGTCTCCTAGATTTTGGAATTCTAGTCCGTTAGCGAAGGGAGGGGGGAGAAGGAGCCTTGTCTATCCCCCCGCCAAGGAACTAGAACCGATTCAGGCATCGGCTCAGCCTACCTTACGGCCTTAACCCAATTTTTTTCTGCTTTTTTTAGGTTAAAGTTAATCTTCTTTCCAGATTGACGCTCTTGTAAAGGACTGGGAAACCAGCAACGACCCCGAGGTATCGACAAAAATCTGGCTGCGAATATTCACGTAAGCCATATTCATTAAAACCTACCATGTTCCACTTTCCAGCGTTGCCGTCGTCACCTGGAACCGCAGAGTACGCGATGAAAATGGGAATCTACGCAGGGAATGGATCTCGATCGAATGGCAGTAATAACAACTTTTTAACGAAAATCCCCGAAGTCCAGATGCGAAGAGTGGAGAGTGTTGATCGAAGAGTGGACCAATACCCACGGAGCCGTACCACCAGTCCCTCCACCCACTATATTATATCAAAAAGCATCGACCGGGGCGGCGGTAGTCCCTAATCAAAAAAATGACTATAAAAAGCTTTAGCGTAAATTCGACAACGAGATTGATTTGTACGCAGAGTTGAAAGCTGACCACTGCGCGACGGTTCGGCTTGGAATGAAATCACAAGATCGGGTGAGTCGAAGTAACGATTCGTCGCATTAATTTTATATCGAGTCTCTTACGCTATACTTTAGTATTCCGAGCTGCTAGCGGCTTACCAGAACGCCAAAAAGGATCTCGATGCAAAAGCCAAGGAATTTTGGCAGTATGTTCACAGGTAAGCGCAAAGTTATTAGTGAAACGCTGAACATCAGTCAGTGATTTTCCTCAAAGATCTCAGCTAGCTAGCCTTGCGGCTCCCAGAATTAATTTGATTTTAGTCGCGTCGTCAACAAAACCCAATCTCAAACCACCCGAAAAAATCAACGCGACGGCCTCGACAACCATTTTCGAGCCGTCATCGAAAACCAGTAAGCTAAAAGGTTTACAGACTATGGAAACGTTTAGCACTGCTTTGGAGAACTTTCTGAATAATTACTCCGGTGCATTGAACTTGGCTCCCGGCCAGCGGAAACAATTTGAGAAGGAGAAAAAGGAGCTGCTCGGAAGGGTAGGTTCTTGTGAATTTTGGCAACTTGCCTGTAACTTGAAATTGAGAGAAATTAGCTCCTATGCAACGGGACAAACCCTGGAAAATTTTACCAAATGGCTTGTAAAATGGCGGGCTTAAATAGAAAATGGTTATGAAAATTGTCGCAAATTCGCCGTCTCAAGGGCTTTCGGATGGTGTAACTACCATTCTGATCCAATACCTCTGCATCGAGTTAGAGGGGGTGTTTTTTTGGGACGCCCTGTTTAACACTAAACTGCAATTACCATATGCGTGTAAAATGTGTCTGCATATTACCGTATGCAAAAAAATAGTTATTTTCAGTCACAGCAACAGGCGGACTTTGCGACCGCGGCCTTACGGCGGAAGAATTCGCGGTCCGATGATGGCTGAAATGGCTGTACGCATTTTTGTATATTTGTATTATTACCAGGGTTGAAAAGCCGCTTCGCGACTTTTCAACCCTGGCCCCGTCTCGGACCCCATACTATTCGTCCCTTTGCATAATTGTCATCGATTCAGAAGACAAAAAAATGAAAAACAACCCTTTCTGCCTCTTTATATAGGCGACCACCCACTTCCGGTCTATGCTAATTATTCCTAACAAAGAGGTTTTTACAAAAACCTAAATTTAATAGCAAAAATGGCGAATTTTTAAAAATCTGATACGTGTGCAGTCATCCCTAGACCATTACGCACCTAATGACGTATCATTCGTAGCTTATCACCCCTCGCCTCTTGAGATATCCTCCGGACAGACAGACGGAAGTGGATGCAAAGTGGCACACACACACAAACACACACAGACACTATTTTTTTATATATAGTAGGATTTGTATTTTTGGCTAAGGTTTACTTTACCCCCATCCGGAAGTTTTTGACTATAACCTTTCTATTTTACATTATTGTAGGCTCAAATTAAAACTCTTAGGATATTTTTCGACGCTCTATCAAATGGCGTTGCAACAATCCCGACAAAATAAACGAAAATACCGAAAACTTGGAGACCCTTCGGCTTTGGGGGGTGGGGGGTAAAGTAAACTCTTATCGTATTTTTGTAGTAGAAGCCGAGTTGTTTTTGCCATTTTTCAAACGTGGATCTTTGGATTTCATGGTCAACGTCGATTTTTTTAATAAACATTTCATCATGGCACGGTTCTCACGACTTCGCACCAGTGTTGCTGATCCTATAAAAAGGATTTACAGGGATACGTCTGTATAAAAAGTACAAAAATGAAGCGGCAACACATTCCCGAAATTTTTGAGTGAACAGCACCTTCACTATCAAGAAGGAGAGCAGCGTTTTGATGGCGTATAAGCACGTACAGAACTGTGACCGCCATGGCGTGCGCTTAAAGCCAAAACGTTCCAATACGCGTAGGAAACGTAAAAGGTAGAAGAGAGAGCGAAAAAATTCCAGATCTAAAAGGATATTTTGATCTAGACAAGATTTGATCTAACCATCATCATCAACCCGCCAAAAAAGATGCGCAACCTGGACAGGCAAATTAAAGAGCAAGTCAATGTTGTAGAGAATTTTATATAAATAAAAAAAAGTAAATACGTAGAGACAATTTTTTTGCGATAATTAAAACTGTAATTTTTGCATATGCAGAATTCGCGGGTTGGAGGACGTCTTCAGGCTTATCACCGCTCCGTACGGCTCCGCTTTTCGAAGAAATCGATATTGCCCGCTCGCGCTTCTCCCTTCACGCCGTACGCGTAACGTTACGCAAGATTATACTTTATATTCATATTTCTATATATTATATTCTATATATTCATTCTATTATTTTGGAGGCTCAGAGGAGAATACGATAGACTAAAATTCTGTATTTTTACGAATTCGACCCGGCCGTCAACTCAGCTTCCTCTAATTCGGGAAGCTTAAACAACTGCTCCGTAGCAATGGACGTCGATACCGGTGGGTCATCTCGATACGAAGGTTTTTGGGGTTGATGGTAAACCTGACTAAAAATTGTTGTTAGGAGCCAGTCCAGCAAAGCGCCCTTGCCGCCAAGAAGCCGCTTTCAATGAAGATGCGATAGAGGCACTTGAAGACCTTCCGGATCAATACCTTAGTAGCTGCTCGCTTTCTATTAAATTAGCCCGGGATTTGCAGAATTCATCACGTCAAGCGACTCGGCATTAGAGAAGATCGTTTTTCCTGATGACCAAGAGCCGTTTGCGGAGTTCAGCGTTGAAGAAGCGTCAATGAATAAACAAGTGCCAAGTGGGCCCGAGAAACTAGTTGTACTGTTTTAGCTAATCCCGACCTTCCGTCGTGTCTCGACGAAGAGCAGTTGATTTCCGATGGGGCGCAAGAAGAGACCACAGGTTGTTTTTCATTTTTAGTGTTACCTTGATTTATAGAAAACCCAATACATAATGGAACCCCAGTATCTACGGTGTCGAGCCTTCAAAACGCATCGGGAATCGGTAGGATGAAATCGGGGACTTTTTGAGTTATTGATTTACAGTTGCACCTCAGGTCGAGGTACGAGACAACGAGATGACGACGGAGAACGCAGGAGAACCAGGTAAAGTTGGAGTTGAACCGGATTTCCTTTAATATAACCCCGGTTATGTTTTGTCAATCACCTAAGGGGGTGGGTTGTATTAGAGGGAGGGATAGATTTTCGTGAATAGAGTAGAACGATTTCTAGCATCTCAAACTGCTCATAACCACTCAGGAACACAGCACGAAGCTCATGCAGAAAAGTTTTTGCATCCTTCCTTCTTAAAGGCAATTTCAAGAAAAATGTTGGGTTATACAGGCTGTCCCAATAAAAGGCACAACCTCTGACTTGAAGCAGAAGTATCGGAATGGTAGCCCCAGACACGGCGAGTTTGCTACAATCTCAAAAACCATATTTTTTTTTATGTTTCAAGGGCTTCTCAATGGTGTAACTATCATTACGATCCGATAGTCCTGCGTCGAGGGTCGGGGGTGTTTTACCTGGGCTATGTTAAATACACAAGTATTTTCTCACGGAAGTTTTAGATAACGCTTTTCAACGAGATGTTCCGGCGCAACCCGTCGCCATTCGGTCACGTTTCCCAGGCGAAGAAAATCCACGGGTCCGTGACGAAAACGGCATGTTGCGGTGCTCGTGGACATCCACAACATGGAGGTTACCTAGTTACCTTCTTCAAACCGATTTTCCTAACTTTCAGAAATCATCAATGGGCCGAGTACGCCAGAAAGCTGCCTCCCGCCCCTAACCCGAACATCCTCTTCGATAAACCGAGTCAACGCATGTTTTTTCTTCAGCGAACTCGACCCGCACTACGAATTGGGCGATGTACATTACGCGCGATCTCCAAAGCCGATAAGAAGAACCAGAAAAAGGTGGCTTGCTTCAAAAAGAAAATACACTCGTTTTAGCTCACCGGACTCGTCGAGAAGTGGAGCACCACTCAAACTGACCAAAACGCTAAAGAAGCCGGCTTTTCATATTTTCGTGAGCCCCTCTTTTGCGTGATGCTCTTTTTGCAGACTTGCTGAGGCGAGATGGAACCTGAGAGTGCGCGACGAAAAGGCAACCTGCGCAGACAGTGGCTGTCAACGGAATGGAGGTAATAAAATTAGTAGCTGCTTTAAGCAATGGAATCATGCACTCAGAAGCAACGAATGCGCTGAACTCTTCGCTAAATGGAGGAAAAGGTATAATTCCTTGCCGCCACTCCTCAACCCTGACCAGTTCTTCGAAAAGGCCGGCTCCGGAGCAGCGGTAAGTCAAAAGGAGGACCCGCTGGGAAAACCAACTTAAATTCCAGCGCAAATTTGAAAACGAATTCGACTTCTACGCGGAGATGACTGATGCGCATGCTCAGACGTTACGCCTCGGAACGCAGCGCACAAAAGAGGTTTCTTTTTTCAGAGTAGGGTAAAATCTAGCCTCCCTTAGAAGAAAACCGTTGTTTTCATGCCCGTATTAAATAGACTGCAAAATTTTGATTATAGTACGACCGCCTACTCCGTGCCTACAGCAATGCGGTCGCAGCGCTGAAGCGCGTTGGAGGGGAAGCGGAACCGATTGAACGCGGTGCGCAGAAAGAAGCCATAGCTTTCTGGCAATTCATCCATGCGTGAGTTTTAAAGGGAAATTTTTATCTAATATCCCTAACACGCGATTCAGCCGCCTCGTCAACAATGCTCAAAGCGACAATTCGAGGAAAACCAAGGCCGACCAGTTCCTTGAAATCTGCAAGGGCGTCGTCGAGATAAAGTAATTTTTTTCGGACAATCGTTATTCTGATTTTAGCGAAAAAGTGAAGAACCTCCGCAAGCCCATTCCAACGTCACCAAAATCCATGCAGGAATTTGATATAGCCAAAGCTGATTTGTTTACCATGGTAAGCTAGCCGATATGAACATTTTTCAGCAGGGCCTCTTTAGACGCAGAAGATCTCCGCCTTGGCCAACAAAAAATTGCAGTTGACGAACGCTGAGGATGTGAAATCGGAGGATTAGATGAATAGCTTACATTTATCTGGTTTCGGGTTCTTGTTTTGTTATTTGATGTACTGGTGGATATGGTATAATACGCTTGTGAAACGCTTGGGTCTTAATGATTTGCTTAATAAATATTATCGCTTTTGGTGAGGCACAAAACCAGAAATGTTTTTCCAAGGTTTTTCGTAGGTGTCAAACAAGACCCGCAATTCTGATTTTGTCTATCAATCCAAATATATCGGCCCGTCATTTTATTCCTTGGTCTGGCAGCCAAAGTCGAATTTTCGCTCCTTGTTCGGCTTCTTCGCGCCGATGAAATACACGGCGTAATCGGTGTTGGGCGTCATGTTGAGGGTGAAATTCTTGGATGGGTCGGGTTTGATGCTGAAATTCATGTAGTTTAGTGTAAAACTCTTGAATTTAACGTCGCTAGGTGTGCAAAGGTGCAGAGCGTATCCCCGCCCCACCTTTCCTTTAAGCAACGCCGAGCTCCTGTAGACACCTGGCTCCAACGCGCACTATGCAGCGTTTATTATACTATGTTCAGGCATGAACGCTTCCTATATAAATTTTTCTACTCACTCGGTCCTCTCTAACGTCTTCAGATTCCTCAAGTAGAGCTGATCCCCATCGGCCAAACTTCCGGTTGCCCAGAAGTTTCTGCCCTCTTTGACACCATCACAGTACACATTGCACACATAGCTGAGCCCATCTGTGTTCTGAATTATCAATCGTAATCGGGTTTTTTAGAGTAGCCCATACCTTGGGGTAGACCTTATCGTATTTAGCTCCATTTGACCATCCGTTCTTGGCGTACAGAATCGTTGGATTGGGGCAGAGGAAAGCTGAAAAAAACTGAGGTTGAGTTAATCATCGCATAAGCTTAAGCTTAAAAAATTGATTTGAGCTGCTCCAAGCCTAGGAAAGCCAATCAAGTTAAGGTTTAACTTACAGTCAGTGTTCGGGAGTGCCGGGCTGGTCAATGTCAACGTGAATTCAGGAGTAGTTGTGTTGTACCTGATCCTTTATTCACCACCGCTTCGTTTTTTTTCCTACCTGAATCCAACTGCCTGATCCGGGATCATAAACTCGAGCTTCTTCTCCTTGTTTCCAATCACCCTCAAAAATTTTGAATCTGGACTGAAAGCCGAAACCAACTCCAAGAAGTTCAGCCCCCTGCCGCTCAGCGGACGCTCAAAATCGAAGGCCGTATTGTAGAGCTTTCCGGCTTCCATTGTGGGCACTTCGAGGATAGCGTGGATGCCGTAGTATTGCCAGACGGTGAAATCCTGAAATTATGAATCGAATTCAATAACAAATACCTAAGTCAAGTCTAAGCTTCGTTCTACTAACAAGGAGTGTCCTTTTGGTGTCATCGGCAAAACGATTCCAGACCCAGCTCCTTCGATAGAGAATTGAATTCTGAACAAGACTGTGTTGTTCATTTTTGCGGAATGACTGTCCCTGATTTTATAGAATTAAAAAACCATGACACCATAATTCGTTTAATTTCGTATACCATTATACCATTATAA